AAAGACTAAATAATGAACCAATAAAAAATAATAACTACATGACTTTTTAAGACATAGTCTAATAAGATGTAAGTAGAAACAACAAAAAGTTTAAAAGCAGGGGATGAACTTAAGGTGTAGATTATATTAGTTTTATTTTTTCTTGTATATTTGTTAGTGTTAAATTATTATTAGTTTTAAATAATGGGGTATAAAATACTACTTGCTTTGGGAGAGAGAGGCAGGCTGATCACTTGAGGTCAGGAGTTCAAGACCAGCCTGGCCAACATGGTGAAACTCCATCTCTACTAAAAATACCAAAATTACCCCGGAATGGTGGTGGGTACCTGGAATCCCATCTACTTGGGAGGTTGAGGCAGGAGACTCGCTTGAATCTGGGAGGTGGAGGTTGCAGTGAGTCAAGATTGTGCCACTGCATTCTAGCCTGGATAACAGAGTGAGACTCTGTCTATAAATAAATAAATAAAAAGTACTTTTAAGCTTCATGGTTACCTCAAACCAAAAAAAAAAAAAAAAAAATGGACACACAAAAAAATACATAACAAGAAACTAAATTATATCACAGAGGAAATTACTTTCACTAAAAGGAAGAGAGAAAGAATTAAAGAAGGATGAAAAGACCACAAAACAACCAAAAAATATACAAAAATAGCAGGAGTAAGTCCTTACTTATCAATAATAACATTAAATATGAATGGACTAAACTCTTTAATCAAATGACAGAGTGGCTAAATGGATAAAAAAAAATAAAAAACAAGACCTAGTGATCTCTTGACTACAAGAAATACATTCAATCTATAAAGACACACATAGATTGAAAATAAAAGGATGAAAAAAGACATCCCACGCCAATAGAAACCAAAAAAGCACAAGGATAGTTATACTGATAATAGACAAAATAGATTTCAAGACAAAAACTATGAAAAGAGACAGAAAAGATCACTATATAATGATAAAGGGTTCAATTCAGCAATCATATATGACAATTTTAAATATATGCACCCAATACTGGAGTACTCAGATATGAAAAGCAAATATTACTCAAGCTAAAGAGAGAAATAGGTATCAACGTAATAATAGCTTGAGAATCCAACACCTCAATTGTCAAAAGTTTGAAATAATGTCAGACACTTTCTCTGACTACGATGGAATAAAATTAGAAATCAATAACGAGGAAATTTGAAAACTATTTATATACATGGAAATTAAACAGTATGCTTTTGAATGTCCAGTTGGTGATTGAGAACATTAAGAAGGAAATTGAAAAATGTCTTGAAACAAATGATATGGCAGTACAACATACCAAAGTCTATGGGATACAGAAAAAGCAGTACTAAGAGAAGTTTTTAGCTTAAAGTGCCAACATCACAAAAGAAGAAAAACTGTAAACACTATACCAATACATCTTAAAGAACTAGAAAAACAAGAACAAGCCAAACCCAAAATTAGTAGAAGAAAGGAAATAATAAAGATCAGAGTAAAAATACATGAAAATTGAAATGAAAACAATACAAAAAATAAAAGAAACAAAAATATTTTTTGAGAAGTGAAACAAAATTGACAAACCTTTAGCCAACCTAGCTAAGAATACAGAAAGAAGATACTAATAAATAAAATCATAGGTGAAAAATGAGGCATTACAACCAATACCTAGAAATTCAAAGGATCATTTGTTGCTACTATGAGCAACTATATGCTAGTAAAGTAAATCTATAAGAAATGCACAAAGTCCCAAATACATACAAACTATAGAAATTGGACCATGAAGAAAACCAAAACCTGAACAGACCAATAATGAGTAACTAGATTAAAGCCTAAAAAGTTTCCCAGTACAGAAAATCCTGTGACTTGATGACTTCACAGCTGAATTATACCAAACACTTAAAGAAGATTGAATACTAAACTATTCTGAAAAATAGAGGAGGAAGGAGTACTTCCAAACTAATTCTATGAGGCCAGTGTTACCCTAATCCGGACAAACATATATCAAGAAAAGAAAACTATAGGCCAATATCTTTGATGAATATTGATTCAAAAATCCTCAACAAAATACTACTAAACTGAATTCAACAATACGTTAGAAAGATCATTCATCATGACTAAATGGGATTTATCCTTGGGATGCAAGGATGGTTCAAAATATGCCAATAAACCAATGTGATATATTACATCAACAGAATGAAGGACAAAAACCATATAATCATTTTAATTTATGCAAATACTTACAAAAAAGTATTTGGTAAAATTCAACATTTTTTTAAATTTTATTTTTTTTTATTGCATTTTAGGTTTTGGGGTACATGTGAAGAACATGCAAGATTGTGGCATAGGTACACACATGGCAGCGTGATTTGCTGCCTTCCTCCCCATCACCTACTTCTGGCATTTCTCCCCAAGCTAACTCTCCCCAACACCCCACCCCCTGCTGTCCCTCCCCTATTTCCCCCCAACAGACCCCAGTGTGTAGTGCTCCCCTCCCTGTGTCCATGTGTTCTCATTGTTCAATACCCACCTATGAATGAGAATATGTGGTGTTTGATTTTCTGCTCTTGTGTCAGTTTGCTGAGAATGATGGTTTCCAGGTTCATCCATGTCCCTACAAAGGACACGAACTCATCATTTTTGATGGCTGCATAATATTCCATGGTGTATATGTGCCACATTTTCCCTGTCCAGTTTATCATCTATGGGCATTTGGGTTGGTTCCAGGTCTTTGCTATTGTAAACTGTGCTGCAATGAACATTCGTGTACATGTGTCCTTATAGTAGAACGATTTATAATCCTTTGGATATATACCCAGTAATGGGATTACTGGGTACAATGGAATTTCTATTTCTAGGTCCTTGAGGAATCGCCACACTGTCTTCTACAATGGTTGAACTAATTTACACTCCCACCAACAATGTAAAAGTGTTCCTATTTCTCTACATCCTCTCTAGCATCTGTTGTCTCCAGAATTTTTAATGATAGCCATTCTAACTGGTGTGAGATGGTATCTCAATGTCGTTTTGATTTGCATTTCTCTGATGACCAGTGATGATAAGCATTTTTTCATATGTTTGTTGGCCTCATGTATGTCTTCTTTTGTAAAGTGTCTGTTCATATCCTTTGCCCACTTTTGAATGGGCTTGTTTTTTTCTTGTAAAGCTGTTTTAGCTCTTTGTAAATTCTGGATATCAGCCCTTTGTCAGACGGGTAAACTGCAAAATTTTTTTCCCATTCTCTTGGTTGCTGATTCACTCTAATGACTATTTCTTTTGCCGTGCAGAAGCTGTGGAGTTTGATTAGATCCCATTTGTCTATTTTGGCTTTTGTTGCCAATGCTTTTGGTGTTTTAGTCATGAAGTCCTTGCCTACGCCTATGTCCTGAATCGTTTGCCTAGATTTTCTTCTAGGGACATTTTTTCATGTTAAAGATGCTCAAAAAACTGGGGATAGAAGGAACATAACTTGAAATAGAAAAGCATATATGACAAATTTATAGCTACTATCATACTGAATGAGTAAAAACTGAAATACTTTTGTCTAAGGTCTGGAAGATGGCAAGGATGGCCACTTTCATCATTGTTATTCAACATAGTACTGGAAGTCCTGGCTAGAGACATAAGAGAAAAATACATAAAGGGCATCCAAACTAGACAGGAAGCAGTTAAATTATTCTTATTTAAGATGAAATAATCTTATATTTCAAGAAAACTAAAGACTTCACCAAAAACTACTAGAACTCATAAACAAATTCAGTAAATTGCAGGATACAAAATCAGCATACAAAAAACAATGACATTTCTATATGCCAACAGTGAACAATCTGAACAAGAAATAAAAAATAGTCCCATTTACTATAGCCACAAATAAAATTAAGTACCAACGAATCAACTTAACCAAAAAAGTGAAAGATATCTATAATTAACACTATAAAACACTGATGAAATAAAATGAAGAAATGAAAAAATTAAAAGGTAGTTCATGCTCATGGATTGGAAGAATTTATGTTGGTATGTCCATACTCCTCAAACCTACAGATTCAATGAAATCTCTATGAAAATAACAAAGACATTCTTTACAGAAATAGAAAAAAAAACTTCCCTAAACTTTATATGAAACCACAAAAGACTCAGAAAAGCCAAAGCAATTCCAAGCACAGGAAATTGGATGAATAACATTACTGACTTCAAATATACTACAGAGTTATAGTAACCAAAATAGCAAGATACTGGCATTAAAACAGGTACATTGACCAAAGCAACAGAATAGAGAACCCATAAACAAATTCAAACACCTACAGTGAACTAAAGGTGCCAACAACATACAGTGGGGAAAAGACACTCTGTTCAATAAATGGTGCTGGGAAAATTGCATACTCATATGTGGAAAAGCAAAACTAGACCCATATTTCTCATCACATACAAAAATCAAATCAAAATGGATTTTAGACTTAAATCTAAGACCTCATATCATGAAACTACTGAAAGAAAACATTGGAACAACTCTCTGGGACATTGGTCTGGGCAAAAGTGTCTTGACATATATCCTACAAGCACAGGCAACCAAAGCAAAAGTAGAAAAATATGATAATCTTAAGTTTAAAAGTTTCTGCATAGCAAAGGAAACAATTAACAAGGTAAATAGACTACTCACAGAATGGGAGAAAATATTTGCAAACTGCCTATCTAACAAGGGATTAATAACCAAGACATATAAGGAGCTCAAACAACTCTATAGGAAAAAAAATCTAGTAATCCAATTTAAAAAAAAGGGCAAACCATCTAAATAGACTTTCTCAAAAGAAGACATACAAATGGCAGACAGGCATCCAAAAAGGTGCTTAACATCATTGATAATTAGAGAGGTGAAAATGAAAACTACAATGAGATATTATCTCACCCCAATTAAAATGGCTCATATACAAAAGACAGGCAATAACAAATGCTGATGAGGATGTGGAGAAAACTGTTGGTTGGAATGTAAATTAGTACAGCCACTATGGAGAATAGTTTGGAGGTTCCTCAAGAAACTGGAAGTCAAGCTACCATGTGATCCAGTAATCTCACTGCTGGATATATACCCAAAAGAAAGGAAATCAGTATTTCAAAGAGATATCTGCACTACCACGTTTGTTGCACAATAGTCAAAATTTGGGAGCAACCTAAGTGTCCACTAACAAATGAATGCATAAAGAAAATGCCATACTTATATACAATAGAGTACTCTTCAACCATAAAATAGAATGAAATCCTCTTATTTGCAACAACATGGATAGAACTGGAGGACAGTTTGCTTAGTGAATTAAATCAGGCACAGAAAGACAAACATCGCATGTTCTCATTTATGTGTTGATTTAATATTCAAAACAATTGAACTTATGGAGCTAGAGAGTAGAAGCATGGTTACCAGAGGCTGGAATGGTTAGTGGGGGTTTGGGTGGGGGAGGTGGGGATGGTTAATGGGTACCAAAAAAATAGGAGAATGAATAAGACCTAGTATTTGATAACACAACAGAGTGATTATACTCAATTTAGTTGTACATTTTAAAGTAACTAGAAGAGTATCATTGGATTGTTTGTAACACAAAGGATAAATGCTTGAGGGGATGGATACCCCATTTTACATGATGTGATTATTACACATTGTATACCTATATCAAAACATCTCATATACCCCATAAATATATGTATACTTATTGTGTACCCACAGAAATCAAAATTAAAAATTTAAAAAACAAAACAAAAAAAGATGGAAAGTGAAATGAAACCTGTCTTCTTAGAATACTTTGTTTTTTATTTGTGAAATTTAATAAGTAATCTGATACTTAAGAAAGTGTTGAACTCTAAGAAGTATCAGATTCTAGAAAAATTAAGAACTTACTCTGTAAGCTTTTCTTCATTTTCTACCTCAGAAATATAGCATATTAATACATTTCTTTACTGACTTTTAACAGCACACAATTCCAGTCCTGCCTTTAAGTAAATATTTGCTATTCAAAAAGGCCTGAGATAGCACCACTCTTTCAAAAGACTGCATGTTATTTTTCCTTTTCCTTTAAAGGAAAGTGGCTGCATGGAAGAGGTACATTAGTTCTGAATGAGGCAGGAGCAAGAGTGAGATTCTTTTACTAAATCAACAGTCACTTACTTCATGGAAGCTCTGTTTTTTTAGGGCTAAAGGAATGTCCTTATGTGTACAGTGAAGAAGCTAGAATATATTATCACCAAGGTCACTTTAAAATCGAGTATTCCATAATTCTATGCCAAAAAAAAATTCTTAGATTGGGAATTACAACCACTCTGTATTCTGGAAGATTGACTTGCAAATATGTGGGCAGTCCATGTATCCTTTATTTCACTTTTATTTGCATTTCTTCTTAGCTCTCCATCTAAAGAAGAAACAAGTTCCATCTATCTTCCATCACCTTTATTACTTGTTCCATATTCCTGATGAAAGGTTTGAGATGAGTAGAGAAAGAACAGTCAATAAAATGCAATTTGGAGATTTATTTCTGGATTCACTTTTTCATATTGTTTGTGTCCCTTATTATTAGAATGGATCAATAATAATAAGGCATATTGATTGAAGCTTCTATTTTACTGATTAAATAAGTGACATTTCTTTTGTGTTTCCACCTGTAATAATAATCATAGAAAAATAATTCCAAATTGGGGTTCAGATTAGTTACAAATCATTGAACTAAACAGGAACATACCACTTAGTACACTTGTCCATTTGTTAAACAAATAAATTGTTTTACTTCAACAGCAGATATACCAGTTCTTGTAAGAAGACAATATGTAGCTTTGAGTACAATTACTTAGCCATTAATACAATCTTACTATTGATTCTCTACAATTTTTTAAATCTTATAAGCCATCTCAGTCTATTTTCATAGTCATTGGCCCATATGTTTTAACTTATGTTTAGTCACTTTTAAGAATATATTTCACTAATGACTTGTTAATCTATAGTTTCTTCTCAGTGGCAATAAATACTCTCTTCATTTTTAATTTATCCCAAACTAAAGCATCTTCATGCTTCTTTTTTTTTTTTAATTGTACTTTAGATTCTGGGGTACATGTGCAGATCATGCAAGATTGTTGCATAGGTACCTTCGTGGTTCTTATGTGGCCCTGTCTCACTGGCTCAGGTTGGCTTTGATCACCCTTGCAGAGGATGATTGTGTGCTGAGGCAAGTCCTGCCTGTGACTAACCCCATTCAAGGGAAGGCTCTGCTTTTACTACCTGCTTCTTTAGAGGGTTCATGTCTTTAACCAGAAGTAATGTTTTAAAACAATTCAGAAAAAATAAAGCACAAGTCAAACACAGTTAATAATGTTCCTTTATGACTGTTATTCATAATGGGATACTTAGAGAAAATTAGAGGACCTGCTTCTCATAAGAACAAACCTCAAATCATCAATAACTCTTTGGAAATTAGAAGACTGAAAAATTTCTGCGCCAAAAATATGCTTGCTTGTATTTTCTAAAAGTCACATGCAATCTTGTGGGCCTCTGTACTGATAACAGTTATAGTACAAGATCAATAATAAGATAAAGAAATAAAGAAGATATACAATTTGGAAACTCTAAACTATCTTCAGAATTCTTAAAGTTTGCTTTTACAGTAAACCAAATCCAAACATAGGAAATAAGTAAAATAAATGTTTGAAAAGAAAACGTAACTTCTAGGAATGTCCCCCCACCCCCACCAATTCCGCCAACCCCACCAATTCCCCCACCCCCCCCAATTCCCCCCACCCCCACCAATTCCCCAGAGGTCAGCCTTTAATTTTGTTAATCTTGATACCTTAGGTAGCAAAACACAAAGAAGTATACATCAATTATGTTCAAGTCTCTCCTAACAAACCTAATGAACATTTTTCTTGTTGATTTAACTTGAGTTTCCAGTAGCAGTTAACACTGTTGACCAAAGTTACTGTCCCGATTCCATTTTTTTTTGTGTTCTTTGCTTCCATGAGCCATCTTTTCCTGGTTTTCCTCTAACTTCCATAGTGTTTCCTTCTCAATATTCTTTGTAGTTTCTTCAATCTGTGACCTATAAAATAAAGTTCCTAATTGATCAAATTTTGATTCTTAGACTCTATTTTTTGATAAATATTCCCTCTGCATGTTATATCATTAATTCTTATGATATATTCCAAATGTGGTTTCCCTTTAAACCTCATTTTTTTCAGTGCTCTTCTACTTAGGAAGTGCATCATCATCAGTCCAGTTTAAAAACCACAAACATAAAAGTCTCCTTAAACCTTCTTACATCCTTGCTCTACAAATTCAATTCATACTAATATATATCAGTTTTACTTACTAAATATTGCTCACTTCTCTTCATGTCTCTCCAGGTCTCACACTTTAGTCCATCGCTTTTTCTTTTGCCTAAACTACTATAATAGCCTCCTTATTGGTCCTCCACCGTAAGTTCTTGCACACCTCCTACTATCTCAAATTCATAGTCTGGGAGGTTTTTGTTTTGTTTTGTTTTTGTTTTTGGAGGCAGAGTTTCACTCTTGTTACCCAGGCTAGAGTGCAGTGGTGTGATCTGGGCTCACTGCAACCTCCATGCCCCCTTCCCCCACCCAAGGGATTTTCCTGCCTCAGTCTCCCAAGTAGCTGGGATTACAGGTGCCTGCCACCACCCCAGGCTAATTTTTATTTTTATTTTTAATAGAGATAGGGTTTTTCCATGTTGGTAGGCTGGTCTGGAACTCCTGATCTCAGGCTTCCCAAAGTGTTAGGATTACAGGCCTGAGCCACCACACCTGGCCTAGGAGGTTCTTTTGAAAAGAAAGATCTTCACATGTAATTCTACTCCAGCACTTCTGTGGATTCCAACATGAGCCATATAGCCCTGCAGAGACTGTCTCTTCTCTTTCTCTCCAGTTTAATCTTACTTTTCTACATCTCTATGTATTCTAAGCACATTGGTCGGCTTAGTTCCTGGACCATGCCATGCAGTTTACTACCGGGAACTTTGCATGTGCTCCTCTAGCTAACTGAAGCACTTTTCCAGTTCCCCTTTATTCTCACTGTTTTTGCCTAGTTACTTCTAATTCCTCTTCTAAATTTTAATTCTAGAATCTCTTCCTCAGTGAATCCTTCCCTGATCTTCCACAACTCTGTGTATATCTCTTTGTAAAACTAATCATATTCTAATTTGACATTTATATGTGTGACATTTCTCAAATTAATGACTGCCTTTCATTACTACTGTATAGTCAATAAGGGCAAAGATACCATCTACAGTTTTGCATTGGCTAACAATGGGGAAATGTTCTGAGAAATGCATTGTTAAGCAAATGCATCATTGTGCAAACATCACTACATGCAAAAATCACTCAGTGTACTTATCCAAACCTAGGCTAGGAGTGTAACCTGCTGCACACCAAGGCCTGGTATAATCTGTTGCTCCTAGACCACAAACCTGTATAGAACATTATTCTACTGAATAGTGTAGACAGTAATAACACAAGGGGAAGTACTTGTGTATCTGAATATATCTAAACACAGAAAACACAACAACAATGTAATATAAAATATTTTTAAAAGGTGCATCCATGTGCAGCTCTCTTATAGTCTTTTGGGACCTCTGTTGTATATGAAGTCTGTCATTGACCAAAATATTCTTATGCAGTACATGGCTCTATTTGGTTCTCTGTTTTATCTCCAGGACCAGGGACACTATAAGACACATGTATGCTCAATAAATATTTTGTTGGGTGAATAGGAAGTGAAATAATTGTATACATTAAGTTTCCCACCCAGTTTCAAGTGACCCACTTATTAGAGTTCTAGTTGCCACTGGCACAGGCACAGCCCCTTTTTGAGGAGGCAGTGGGACTACTGGCTGAAGCAGAAACAGCAAGGCAAAGAAGGGAAGTACCGGAAAGGAAAGAATCAAATGAATAGAAACAAGATGAATTCTGTCACATAGCTTAGAAACTAGCTCCCAAAACGAACTAAAGAAGAATTTTCTAAAGTATTTTAAATAAATTATGACATCATTTGTAGAAAGCATCTTTGAGAAACATTGTTTTAAGTATGTTATTGCTATATTTGTTTTAAAACTTTTGTCTGATATTTAACAGGACGTTGTTAAGAAATGGTTACTAAAAAGAGGCAAAGGTGAGAAAGAGCATGGTTCTTATACTTTATTTAATTCCCACGATAGAAACACTTTGGTTTGTCTCTTACATTATGAATGTCATTAAGCATCTCCATTAATGAGTCTGTTCAGGTTTGGTCAAGTTAAAACTTTGAGACCTTTTGACATTATGAATTAACAATATGTTGAAAAATTCAGCACAATCAAATTTCAGTCAATACTCTAGAAGTGTATTAAGAAAACTTTTATCAGATTGTCTTTACATAAATCATGATGTTCATGCATTTTGCATGATTGATGGGGATGTTAGTCATTACGCAGTATTTCTTTGTCCTTTCTTACAGCATAATGTAACATTTATCTGAGCACATGGAAATGTTGCATTTCCTCCCTTGCAGCTAGGTGTAGTCAAACGACTAAGTGGTGCCCAAAGGCATGGCACGTCAGTGGAAGCAATATGTGCAAATTTATGAGCACGTCCTTAAAAGACAGGTAGAGTCATGCTCTCTCCCTCACTGACTTTTTCTTTTGACTGGCTTGAATTTCAACAAGGAAGTGATGGATGAAACTTCTTGTACCATAAAGATAACATATAAAAGTGAAATGAGACAGAAAGGGCGTGGAGTTCTAAATCCAGGGCTTCTTTCTTGATTAAGCCACTATCATTTGGGTCTCTGTGTTGCAATAGCAAAATCTATATTCTAACTAATGTAAAAGCCATGTGTTAGTTAATTTAAGAATTTAGAAATAATAAATAGAGTATGTGTTTTGTCAGTGGAAAAGCCAGTTTGGAGGGTCAGGCCTCCTGGTTACTAGACTTACATGCTCTTCTTAAATCATGATTACATGTCATGAATTTTTATATCCCAGAGTTCACATAATAGTATTTAGAGAAAATTGAATTAATTTCTGCTGGAAATTTTACATATCTACATTTATAATTTTACATTTAAACTTGTAAAACATTCTGTCAGTTAATTGTTATTAAGATTCATAGCTAATGAATGCCGGAGCAGTCATTTAAATGCAGGCTTCTTGAATCTCAAAACATATTTTCTTTATGTTATAATACTACTTCCAA